TTCGCTTGGCCGAAAGTGGTGAACTGCCGAATTTGGTTTTCTCCGATGAGAAAACATTCGTTGTCCAGCAGTTTGTAAACAAACAAAATGATCGTGCACCTTTGGTTGGCCACCAGAACTCAAGCGCCGGCCATGGTGATGGTGTGGGCAGCCATAACAGCCGATGGTCGCTCTCCGCTCATATTAATCGACCGTGGCATCAGAATAAATGCCGAATATTATCGCGAAAATATTCTGGAGTGTGTATTAAAGCCTTGGATACGCAATAATTTGGACGCAGACCTTGGACATTCCAACAGGACTAAGCACCATCGGACTCAGCACGCGCCACCCAAGAATTGTTACGCAATGAGGTTCCTCGCTTCATTTCCAGCGCACGATGGCCACCAAAACCTCCGGATATTAAACCGTGGGACTATTGTGACTGGAGTATTTTGGAAAGCAAGGTTGGCACTAAAAAATACCACAGTGTCGATCGCCTCAAGCAAGCGCTTCGCCGGGAATGGGCTATTTGAACAAATCTTAACTTATTCTAAAATTTGATGCATTTCCGACATTTTTTGCTTTTATTCAATAAATTTATTAAAAAAAAAACAAGTAAAAAAGCTGTAAGTTCGTCCGGACAGAACTTTGAATACTCTCCACCATTTGGGACGAATTTGGCAATTCTCAAAAACAATAAAATCAGTTAAAAATTCTGTTAAAATCTTAAAAATACCGAATGTAGCTGTTAAATTAGGGTCTATACGACGACATGGACCCGCATAGGTAAATTTCGTCATAATCCATTACAATATTAAAATGTGAAACCTAAAAAAAATTGGTGAATAATGTAGGATAAATCATCAAAAAATCGAATATCTGGAGGTACCATTATATGGGGGCTATACGAAGACGTGGACCTGCACAGACAATTTTCTGCCATAGGATGTAGCATTCATTTCAAACTTCAAATACCAAATTTGAAAGAATTTCGTTGAATAATGTCGCTAAAATCAAAAATGAACCGAATATACGGAGGTACCCTTATATGGGGGCTATACGAAGACGTGAACCTGCACAGACAATTTTCTGTCTTAGGCTGTAGCATCCATTTCGAACTTCAAATACCAAATTTGAAACAATTCCGATTAATATTGTCGCAAAAATCATCAAAAACCTGAATATCGGAAGCTATCGTTATAAGGGAGCTATACCAAAACGTGGACCTATACATACAATGTTTCGCCACCGTAGCCGGAACCCATTATGGCTAACAAATACCAATTTTTAGAGAAATCCTTGGAAAAATGTGGCAAAAATCATCAAAATTCCAAAAATCAAGAGGTACCGTTATACCAAAACGTGGACCCATGCATTCAATATTTCGCCACACGAACTAAGACATATTATGACCTACAAATAATTCAGACAAATCCTTGAAAAAATGTGGCAAAAATTATCAATATACCGAATATCGGGAGGTACCGTTATATGGGGACTATACCAAAACATAGACTGATATATCTCATTTTCAATTCCAACCATCCTAGACACAATACAAAATTGTTCTACCAAATTTTGACGCTTTATGTCAAATAATAATATCGTGGTTTCAACAAACAAACAGACGGACATCGTTAAATTTTATGCTGATTATGAATATATATACTTTATGGGGTCTACGACGAATATTTAGGGATGTTACAAACGAAATGACAAAGCTAATATACCCTCTATTCCAAGGTGGAGGGTATAAAAATATAATTTAATTTCAAATTGCTGTTAAAGTTGTCATATAAATTATTTACGGACATTGATAAAAATAGCTGAATTTAAGTGTGTACTCGATTTCAAAATATCCTATCACTTCGTGACAATCCTTCTGTGAAAGGTAGTACCATCACAAACGGCACGAAAGTACTAATTGTAACAACCTTGACATCACTGACATTTACTCATCATTAGCACGAATGACGAAAACACATTTTTGGGGTAGAGGAGTAGCGCGCCCTTTACTATCAATATACTACAACAATAACACATCGTTGTTGTAGTAGAGAAAAATACACCAAACTCATAAATAGGCAAAGAAATTTTAGGCAAAACAACCAGGAAAAAAATATGCACGGCAAATATTCTAATTTATAGCTACGAAAAGAGAAAACAAATTGAGCTTTGTGAAAAAACCCACCTTTTTTCTGGTATCCAAACAGAATTTGAGGTTTCTTTGCCGAATGGGAATTGGATATTTTCTTATTGGAAGCCCCCTTCGAAGAATGAAGTTGTTAATCCGTTACGTTGAAATCCAAAAAGTATAGCTGCTGTGGATGACTGTTTTTTTTTTTATACCCTACACCACATAGTGGTAAGGGTATTATGTCTTTGTTTTTTTTTGATTTTGTTATGCACACTTCAAAAAACTACGTTTGAATATTTTTTTTTACTACAAAGTAAACGCCATTGTATTGCTCAAGGTGGAGTTGTGAAGGGATTTTTTTTCTTGACTCTTATTTTTGTAACTGGGGTTTTAAATTTACTTTTTGATTACACAATAGCAAAAACAACAATAACACGAAAACCGAAATAACATGAACAGCACAAAAAATGGGTTTAGATTGCTTCACCGACAGAAAAAAAAAATAAATTAACACTTTAAATAATTTTGTATTTTTTCATTTCTCCTCAACGGCATACTTTTGCTTGCGAACGAACACCTTTTCTACACAATTTTCTTTTGGAGAAATTTTACTTTTCTTTCTTTTTTGCTGGGAAGATGGATATTTTCTTTATTATTTAAATAATTTTATATTACTTTTCTTGTTCTTATATAATTTTATGTTTTTTTCTTTGGTTGAAATCATCTGCATAAAGGACCATCATCACCATCAACGCCGTCGTTGATGTCGAGAAACTAACCGCGCTTATGACTTCACTTCACCTCAGCCGCAAAACAACAACTGTTTTGGTTCGAGTCTTTCTTGCCTTTGACTATTTGTTTTATTTTTTTTAAACGTCTCTCAGAGTTGTCATAGTCATCGTCGAATTGGGTTTTGTTGGTCGGTTGATTTCTGTGTGGAAATGAGTTAGTTGCTCGTTTTATTCGTCTTCGTCTTGAAACAAACGTGTGTTGTTATTGTTGTTGGTGGGGCTGTTTTGCTGTGCATGATTTAAGGTGAGCACGCGCTCCAATGACAAGCAACAACAATGGCAATGGGGAAAAGTAACCGTAATAAAATACATTTGAAGTTTGGCTCTCACTCTCTGACTCTCAACTTGGTGGGGAACAACAAAGCAAACAAATTGCAATAACAACAATTAACTTACAACTTCGAAACGATAGCAAAAACAACAACAAAAAGAAACAGGGAAAACTCGGTGTAATTTTCCCTTTGCCTTTTGAATTACTAGAAACCAAAATAACAAAAAAAGAAACAAATAAAACAACATTAATTCCCCTGCAAATGTTTACTCTTGATTCTCAAGAAATTTGTTTTTTTCACAGTTTAGTTGGAGTGTGAACTAAATAGAAAAAAATGAATTTTTCTGGGAAAATTTCAAACTATTAGAAAGTTGGAAAACTTTTATGACTAATTATATAATATTTACGATTATTCATAAATGATTGTCAGAGTTGTGGCTGGGTTTATTAACTAAATACTTAATGAGAATGTATTAGCTAAGTGATTTACTACTCCCGTTCTCCCTCTCATTTAAATAGAAAGGATAACTCCCAAGGAATTTGCAAAGCGGGTACCTACTCTCATCCAATAAGTTCACACCATTCACTGAACCCAATTACCACTGCCGCCAGGAACAACAACAACATCAAAGAAATTAGGCCAAATTGAGAATACTACCTTTGGGAATTGGCGGGAATATTAATGAATGTAATAACCTTAAACTTTAACTAATTTTGTGGCAACATGAAAAAAAAGGAAATGAACTGCGAGAGGGGTCCAAAGCTGTAATGGGGCTTTTTAATGGTAACTTATCAATTTAAATTACAAACAAGTAAAAAGAAAATACTCAATTTTTTTTATCCGCTGATGTTATGGGTATTTGTGGAGTAGGTACTATTCTATGGGGCAATGAGGTGAGGACTGTAGATTCATTACAAAAAGAAGGGTAGGGGTATTCAATTCACCGGAGGCTCCATAAATTCCTGATAAGCGAAAAATTCCATGTCGATTTAGACATGATCGCCAGTCTGCTGGATTCACGATAAAGCTCTCACCCTTAAAAATGGGGTTTTAAAACAGGTATTGATATTGTATGTGTCGGTCCACATTTATATATAGCCCCATATAAATCTACCTCCTGTTTGTTTGAGGTTTTCATTCGCCATTTTCAACCAAAGATTGGTATTTCAGGTTCTTTGTGCAAAGATTAGTTCCCCCAGTTCAATATAGACGTAACCCACATACCAGAACCTCCAAGTTTTTGGGATTTTTGAGGAAAGCCGATTTGGCCATAGGCACCAAATTGCCTTAGCTTTAAAATGGGGATGAGCTTTAGCTCCTTAGTTCAAATATTGTAAAAAAAGTTTCAATTCTGCGGGTTTAAAGATATAAATCTCAGGCAAACATCTCCGAACATATTTCATTGGCTTACATAAATTGTATATCGTTAACGACCAAATTTTTCTGTAGATCAACTATTAAATTTCCCTGCTAAAAAATTGCTGACTTCCAAAGTTGCAGCCCTTTTGAAATAGAAATATCTTTCATATATAAAATTTAAATATCGTAGAATGTTATTTTCTGGTGAGCCTATAACCCATATAGAAATACGGTTATAGCTAATTTTTTTAAACGATACATTCAGTAGAATCCAATGCGATTTTTCGTAAAATCTTTCATTAAAAAGTACCTCACGGCAATGACAAGTGGTGAAATTGTAAAGTGGCATTGGCAATGCTTATGCTTAATTGTATATGGCAATGCCACTGAAACTACAAGACATTGCCAACCATATTTACATTTCTAGCATTTGGCAATACCTTAACCGTTACCATGACAAAATGAAAACACACAGTTGTTTTCTGTCTGGCATCCAACAATCTCAATTAATTCCGAAATTTATAACAAATCTCTGCAAGAAGAATGTCCACGACGAACAAAGATCCGTCAAAACCAGAAACCATACAAGATATTGCTTTCAAATTAGCCGAAGAACAGCTGCAACAACTACAATTAGACAACGGACCCAGAGAGCGGACGGTGTTCATACTCGGCTCTAAAAATGTAGGCAAAACCACGGCCATTAATAGTTTCTTTGATCGTGAGGAGACACCACGTCCCACATTGGCATTGGACTATTCGTATGCCCGAAAAACCGCAGCTGTACAGAAACAAATTTGTCACATTTGGGAATTGGGCTCATTGGACCGACAATTGGCTGAGGTGCCACTGAGAAGTCAGGGCGTGGAGAATTTATCGTGCATCATTATGGTGGATTTGTCACAACCTCAACGTTTGTGGTGCGACTTAAAAGAATCATATGAAATTTTAAGGAATTATTGTGACAAATTAATGGTCAGCAAAGGCGATGACGATGTCTCTGAAAGAGAAGACAAGATGAGACAACGTGTCAAGAAGGATCATGTCGATTTGGCTACACTAAATGTAATGCCATTTCCAGTAATTATTGTCGGTGGCAAATATGATTTATATATTGGGTTTGGTGAGTATGGGGTACTTATTCTACTCCCAAAGGAATTAAATATCTAGAATTCTAGGAGGCCCTGTTTCTCTATAACTGTGCGAAAATAAAATAAATAAAAAATCAAAAATAAATTTTTTAATCAAAACATATTCTTCAAGTCTCCAATACTAATAAAATCTTTTTTACCCTTTCATTTTTTTCAGAACCGGAAATAAAGAAACACATCTGCCGCTGCTTACGTTCTATGGCTCATCTGATGGGCGGAGGTTTGCTCTTCTATTCAAATAAACTACAAAAATTAGCAAAAACTCTACGGGATACAATTAGCCATTTGGCTTTTGGTTCACCCTCACATCCATTTCGCAGTCATAATACCGATTACAATGATGCTCTGTCCATTTGGTACGGTAATGATACATGGGATAATATAAGTTCAATGGGTGTCCAAACTCTACAAAGTATCGAATCAAATATAAATGAAGAAATACCACAAGACTTCTCAAGTCTGCAACAAGAACAAAAACATCAAGATCCTGCCAAGGATCCTGGTTTTCGTGAAAGTGTTATTGATGAAATGCGTGCCCAAAAGGATGAAGAGTTACGGCTGCTGGTAAAGAATTCTACGCAAAAAATGCTAAGGGGTAAATTTGAAAGTGTTAAATAAACAACATGTGTTTAAATTAATTTAATATTAGACTATAATTAATTTATTATTTTAATTAATGTTTTTTGACTTATCATGTTTTTTGGTAAGACAATTTTATTTGTGGATTTATGTTAAATTTTATTGGGCGTGTGTGGGTGTCTTGTACAAAGAGGAATGATGGGAAATTTCGGGATAAGGCTAAGCTGGAAATTTAAGGATTTTGTGTTAAGGACTTTTTACAAGTTGTTAGACATTTTTTAGGTTAATCGATTTTTAATTATTGAAATATTCAATTGTAGGTTTTTAAATTGCGTTTCGTTAACATAGTTTCAATTCCAAAACCTTTGAACATTGATACAGTAAGAACGTTCATTAAATTTACAATTTAATTAAAATTCCCAATACAACAACGTCGCTTTATATTAATACTATGTTTTTTTTTATAAGTCTTGGCAGCTGCATTTCTACTATTCTTTTTTTCGTGTAAACTTTAAATATTTCCTACAAATCCCCCCCGCGTATTCTTAAAGAAAAATTTGGCAAAAATTAACACATAAAATTAAACAACAGATCAAGAAAAAAAATAAAAGATACACAAAAATGTTAAAATAAACAAGGATACTACTTAAAGGCTAAAGAAAAAACAAAAGTTAAAATAGAATTGAATTTAACATTGAAAATAATTCAATCATACATGTTCATATGGGAAAGAGGTTTTCCCTTTAAAAATTCCATATTGATTCTCTTATGCTATCATCCAAATCAGCCGCAGGCAAAGCTTTAAGTGTACGCAATGTTTCCATATAGAATGTCAGTTCCGATGTCACTACTCCATGTTGAGGACCGCCATTATTTATGATATTCAAATTCAATAATCTTTCCCTTAGCTTATCTTTGAAATTCTTATGGACAATGCTGTAGATGGCATGTATTTGTTGTTCCGGCAGTATGGGTGCTATAGCCTCGTGTAGCTTAACCAAATGCCTGGAAATAATGCGAAAACACTGAGACGGTATGGGCGGACGAGCATCCCAGCTGTCCAGTTGCATGGCCACACGATCACTCACAATGCCATAGATTTTATTTTCAATTTCCTTAATATGACCATTGTAGTCACGTTCGATAATATCGAAACCGGCCACCGCCGTGGAATCAAATGCCTGAAAATGCGTCTTTATTTTCGGTAATAGCCACAGCACAAGTTGAAGGGCCCTAGATACCAAGGCCAAATTGGTGCTTGTTATGGTCTTAAGGCCAGCCACACGCAATGCTCCGGCACCAATTACCAACTGACAGGAGCGCGAGTTAAATGTGCGCAACAAGTCCACAACATTTCGAGCCAAATAACCTGCCACAATCGGCAAACGCTGGGCACAACGACAATATTCACATAACATTTGTACCAACAACAAAGCAGAGCCCACCAAGGTGTAGGGTTTGGACTCCACCAATAAAACAGGATTTGCTTGAGCATGACCATTTGTTAAGGCAGTAGTGATGTTCGCTGCACTGCCCGCGCCACAAAACTCTTTGTTATCACAAATGCGATCAATAATTTTCTGGAATTCATTTGGAATGTCAACCTGGCGCCAACGTTCTGTATCTAATAGTATGGCTAACTTTTGTTTGCGCTCTGTGTGGAAACGATTTGCAAAACGGCTAGCTTGTACCTTTACAGCCACCTTTAGTGGTACAATTGCCACTCCACAAATCGCCTCACAGCCTTGAGCGAAATCATCAACCAAGCTGGACAACTGAGAAATCTCCTCTGCTGTTGCCACCGACTTCTCCAGACTTTGTTGTGACACCAAATTTGCACAGCGCTCATGACAGTAGTGACACACCGCTGTCAACAACTCGTCCAGTTTTTCATGAACCTGTGACTGATCGGAGGCAGTAAGGAAAGCTTCCGAGTCTATTAGATTGACAGCAGTTTCCTGTGTTGCTTTAACACCCGTCGATTGCTCACTGCGTGCCTTACAACAACCACCCGCAGCCGCATCCGTAGTTTGACGCATAATATGCGTTACCGCATGAATACGTTGCAATACCGTCAACAAAGCCACCTTAACTTTGGCCAGTAATGCAATCCATTCACCAATTGTCAGACTCTGTGCTTCCTCTCCCGCTCCAGTCAAACACAACTCAGCATCACTGGAGGCAATGAATTCAATAACCAATTGTTTGATAATGGCCTTTATCGTGACAAGGGCTTCGTCCTTGTAGGCATCAACAAAGCTAAAGTTTTTCATTCGCAACAAACCCATAACAATGCACACCAACTTATCTTCCTCGGCACAAACACTATCGGTTTCATTGAGCACATCACAAAGGGGACGATTTAAATCTGTGGTGGCATAACGTTCGAATTCGGTAGTCAACATTTTGTCAATTAACTTTTCCATTTCATTTAGCTGCATGGGCAAGTGCTTAAAGCAATGGACACCAATTAGTTCTTGGGTCAGAATTTCTTGTGTGGTTCCAATCAAGTCTAAGGCTGCTACATAGTCTTGTGTGCCCAAGAGCAGCTGTAACATTGGTTGGGTTTTGTGCACTGTGGCCATGAGACGTAACTTATCGAGAACTTCCTCAAAGTTTTGCCTTCGTTGGGCATAGCGCAGCACACGGAATGTATCGACCACAACAGTTTCATTTAATGCACGCAGTGATGTCCTTAAAGCCTTGACCTTCTTGGCAGCCTCTTGCATTTCAGTCATAATTGCATCTTGTGATGTCATTGCATGGAAAAATGCTGCCGATTTTTGGGACACTTGTTGGGCAATTTTTACTTCCACTATATCCAAATAATGCGATAATTGTTCTTGCAAAAGACGTCCGGTACGCCTCCGCTCTTCGCCACTGGGTGATTGTAGAATATCGGGGAACACTTGGCCGAACGTAGGAGCATGTTGTAAATTGAGATTTTCCTTGAGAAATATATCCGGTATCGAATTTAGATTTACATCATGACTGGGAGATGAGGGCATGGTTCCTTTACTAGATGTATCCTCCAGTGCCATTGCTTGTTGACTACTTAAACGTTCATGGCGTTTGTAACGTTTTCCAATTTTCGCTAAATATTTCTCGAAATCATTGTGGGTAACTTCTGGCAAATAGGATGTAGCAGGCACATGATTACGTTCAACAAAATCCACACCCCATTTTTTGGTAAACAAATTGCTCTGTTTGCCACGAGATGGATCGTTGAGGACGGCCGGCAGGTTTTGGGCCGCCGAAAATACTGACCATTCTGGTGGCATTTCTCGTGTCTGTTGGTTTACATGATACTTGGCCACATGGGCATCATAGTCACGATCCGATACACCGTCCAGCGGTAGAGATGGACAAACACCATTAAAGCCATAGCGGCATACAAAGGAGCCGCCCTCACGAGTACAGTGACGTTCACGTAGATGCCTGCAAAAGGGGATTCGATAATTTGTAACAAAATTGGGTTATTCATAGAACTTACTTGACAAACTCGTTTACAGCTTTGAAATTTTCTCTCGGACAATAGTAACAAGATTCCCAACTACTGGGTGCACCCTTGCCACTTTCAAGGACCTTTGCTGTCGTCGCGTTAACATTGTTACCACCACCTCCAAGTTTTAGTAGTGTCTTTTCGGAGATGTTGTCTTGAAAATCACTTATGTCACTGACGTTAGATGTCTTCCTCGACAGTGAATTGATGTTTGGTACTGTAGCCATAACACATTCTTCAAAGTTCTGGCAGAAAATTAAGCTGTTGTTAAATCTGTGCTGCAGACGAGACGTTCCTTATGTCAATATTTGTTTATGCTTTTATCACGTCTATTTTTTCGCCGATTGTTATCTCCCTTCGATTTAGTTTATACTTTAAATTGAAAATATTCGAATTTTTTAAGGTTATTGCATTTTGATTTTGTTAAATATAGAATTTTATTAGTATTTTATTGTATTTTCGTTCACGTAAAATTCCACAACAGCAAAATATATTTTTTCAGTTCGTCATCTGTCAAATAGTCGAAGAAGTTCAATGGAACTATTCTGCGAAGGAAATGATCGGAACTATATGCAGTTCATTCGTACAGCTAGTTTCTTAAGTTTATTTAGTTACTTTTATAAAGTAGCAAGCATATGTTGCCCCTTCTTGAGTTTGAGTTTGTACACAAACTACCAAAGAGAATAACATGTTAGTATTTAAGAAATACAACATTTACGAAAAATTGTGAAGCATAACGATAGATATGAGCAAAGGCAGGGGTAGGTAGGTATGACTTTTCTAGTCAATCTCAAACTGTCAAGTGGGACATAGGGGTTTGTAGGTCGATTCTCAACCCTTCGACTAACCGAAAAAAAAAATGTTTTTAATAAAATTTCTTTGGAAAAATTAGTGAAAATAACCTATAATTAGTATTTTTCAAAGAATTTTATGTAAAAATTATATTTAGGTATTCCAAAGAATCGGAGATGCTTTTTTAAAGAGAGAGGAAGAATGAGAGCGAATAGATACGTTAGCTATTTTAAGGTTATTGCAAGTACTTGATCGAAATCAAGTTTTATTTTGCAAAAAAAAATGTTTTAAGATGAATTTGTTAAAAAAGTGACTTAAATGTGGACAATTTTTTTTTTTTTTGCTCCATTTCAATTCATTGTTGTGCTATATTGACAGCTTCACGAATTTTCCTAGGACTAGGGTCGATGCTCTCACGAAAAGGCATATCTCCAGTGAAATGAACATCCAAAATCCCGTAAGTAGTCTTGCATTCTTGTCCGGTCTTGCTTCGAGGAAAGTACTTTATTTTCCTTTGGGTAGTCCATATTATCCGAAATATGGGCTTTAGGAAACCCAAATAAACATTTCCTGTAGAAATTAAACAGGTTAACAAGGAATAAGATTTTTAGCTATGAAAAAAATATAACACCGGTTTCGGGCAATATTTTGTTTTCAATGGAGACATTGTGGGCGGGCGTTGAAATACTTTAGGGAAGAAATTAGAATGTTGTAATGAACATTCTAAGCTCCTCACATTGATAACCGACCCTTCTCCGATTTATGCGCTTTAAGAATATGTAAAGAACTTACGGAAATTTAGAGGACATATTTTTGGGAACTTTGGACTTCTGATGAAAGAAAAAATACTCTTCCTTTTATGCTGTTCCAAGTTTTGAGCTTAATTTTATTTTTTTTTTTCAGGATATTTTAATGTTCCATAGCAGATGAAAATCCAGTATCTATGCTTAGAGATGTGGGAACCTATAAAAGTAAGCCACAGAGAAATATAAATTCAAGGCGACCGTGTAATGGGACATTACGAAAATATCCTCGACAAAATATGTTCCACTAGCCCAAGGACTTCTTTCACCGTCTTTTATCAAAAGGACTGCCACAACTCCTGAAACCATTAAAGGTAATTATATTATTTCATAGTATTGATTGGACTTGGTTTAACAGACTTATTTGATTTTATTGTGTTTTAAGATTTTTATACCCTTCACCATCGTATGAAGGGTATATTATGTTTGTAATTTCGTTTGTAACACCTCGAAATATATATTTTTGTCCCTACAGCATAAAATTCTATGTCGATTTAGCGATGTCCGTCCGTCTGTGGAAATCACTGTAGCTTCCGAACGAAATGAAGTAGGTTAATAAAATTTTACTCAAATGTATATTAAGTCTGCAGGACTTTTGGTATTGAAAATGAGCCATGTAGGTCTACGTTTTTGTACAGCCCCCATATAACGATACCTCCCGATATTTGATATTTTGATGATTTTACCGACAATATTCACCGGAATTGTTTCAAATTTGGTATTTGAAGTTCGTAATGAATACTACAGCCCATGACAGAAAATTGTCCTTGCAGGTCCACGCCTTCGTATAGCCCCCATATAACGGCACCTCCCGTTATTCGTTAATTTGATGATTTTAGCAACATTATTCACCGGAATTGTTTCAAATTTGGTATTTAAAGTTCGTAATGGATACCACAGCCAAAAACAGAAAACTGTCCTTGTAGGTCCAAGTCTTCGTATAGCCCCCATATAACGGTACCTCCAGATATTCTTTATTTTCATAATTTTAGGGATGTTATTCACCGGAATTGTTTCAAATTTGGTATTTGAAGTTCGTAATGGATAGTACAGCCTATGACAGAAAAGTGTCAGTGTAGGTCCACGTCGTTGTACAGTCCTAATATAACGGTACCTCCCTATATTCGGTATTTTGATGATTTTATCTACATAATTCACCGGAATTGTTTCAAATTTGGTATTTGAAGTTCGTAATGAATACTACAGCCAAAGACAGAAAATTGTCTGTGCAGGTCCACGTCTTCGTATAGCCCCCATATAATGATAGCTCCATATATTCGATATTTTGATGATTTTAGCGACATTATTCCCCGATTTTTTTTCAAGTTTCGCTTTTGAATATTGTAATAGCTTATGACGAAAGTTGCCTATGCAGGTCCACGTCGTCGTATAGACACTAATCCTCAATTCGGTATTTTTTAAATTTTAACAGAATCTTTAACGGATTTAAATTTTTTGAAAATTGCCAAATTTGTTCGGACCGGCCGAACTTACAGCTTTTTTACTTGTTAGCAATTGTAAGTCTTCCTTTTTGTTCAAGGACGACTTAAAATTGACCAATAAGGGAAGTTTTTTTATTACCTGGTCATCCAATGGCAACTAGTAATCAACCTCATTAGAGCCTTTTCAATTGCATTATAATACAAATATCTAAAGAGAAACTTTAAGAGGAAACCTATTCGAAATATATTTAACTGTTGCATGATTGTTTTTTGACTTGCAGGAAATAATTTTTAAAGCTACCAATAGCAAAAATAGAATCTTTACGTTAAGAAATGCAGGATTAGGGTTTGGTATTTCTTCAAAACTAAACTCGGCTAGACAATATTTTATACATTTAACTTACCTATTTTAACTTAATTTTATACTTTTAACATAGTTATTGACGGGGTGTTCAAGCTTCTCTTTTTTCCCTTGGTATCTTTTTTTCCTTGCCAATAAGTTTAGTTATTGGCATATTTTTAAATTGGTTGTAATAAATATTTAAACTGAAGTAATACACATTTTGGATTCATATATTATTTTATTTAAATTAACATTAAAAACATAACATCTCCACATCATCATCATCGTTTCTCTTCGCTTAACATTTTCTTTATAAATAATTGCACAAATGCGTATTCTAACACTTAACACTCAAAATTGATCTACATCATTATCTAGATTTTTTGTTCGAGATCGACGCTGTGATTCCATTGTCACGATATGCTCGGCATCCAAGTTGTGTCTAAGGCTAAACCAACAGATTGACGCATCAAGGTGTGAATTGAAAAAGAAAATAGAAAAAATGATTGGTTTTTAAAAATGTTGGTCTTTTTTATTTTGGGAAAATTTGAGTTGTCATTATTCAATTCGTTTCACTTCTAATCTTCTTACCTCTTACAATGAAAGCTTTTATTTCTGGTGGATACCACCAATACTTCGTTATAATGATTCTTTTGTTGTTTTTGTACTGAGGCAAGGCGATTGTATTTGTGGATGTTGTTGTTGGATTCTTCGTTTTGTTTTATGAGATTCTTTGTATAATAATCGGTCCATGACTCTCTTAGGGGTAATAGTTTGTTAAATTTTGCTGTTGCTGTTTTGCCATTGCACCATGATGTATAGGAATTCCAAAATTTACTATTCATTTTGGTTAGGGGTAAATGCTTGACATCGCCTGGCCATAATTCGGGATAGCCGCATTCGGATATCATATAATCGGGTGTTTTTGTAATCATATTGAGGAGTGACTGAAAATGAAAGATAATGAGTTATTAATATGATAAAATTTATAAACAAAAAATAGGCAATAGATGAGACTTTTTTAGAGGGGTACTGACAAGTCATTTAAAGCACGAATCCATTGAATTGCGTACCATTCAAAATGTAAAACTAAACTAAGATTTATTTTGAAAGATCAAAATTTATTTTATCTTAAAATATAAACTGGACATATGACTACCACTGACATTATCAGAAGCGGCTAACGGCAGAGAAAATCAAAACGAAGCCACCAATGATTTGCATTTTTATGAGTCATGTTGTGCATCATTTTCATCTCCATTTTTTTGAAATCAAGAAATGCATTGGGGAACATTAGAAAATGTCTCCTACAGTGCGTAATGATGAAAACTTTATGTGTGAGTCACTTTGCCCATTCCCATTCAAGCAGGCCCATGATCTATTTATATTTTGAAGATAAGAAAAAAAGAAACAACGCATTGACAAGGTGTCTGTTGTCACGACTCGAAATCGTTAATTTGTTTAATGAAGTTCTGTTTGGCTATTGCCCAAAAATTGCACAACTTAAAAGTATTTTTTTATTCACCAAAATGGGTGATTTCTTTTATTTTGAAATGGATAAATAGCTTTGAGTATGAGGTGTTTTTTGTCCACAGCACATTTTCCTAGCATGAATGCTTAATTACACACATATGGGCATTCATTTGTTGATGGTTTTCTGATGGGACTTCTTTTTTTTAAATTGATCTTCTTAAGGTACATTTATTGGGCTTTTACAAGATTTATGAAAAAATCTGTTGTTCTCCGTTAACATGGCCGATTGATCTTCTATGAATAGACATATGAGTTATCTATGAGAACACTTATTGGTTTTCTATGAAAAAAGCTGACCTTCTTCAAAACCGAATAGAAACTGGTCTCCAATGCTTTTATTAAAGAAAAATATTGGTTTTCTCTGATTGAACGTTAATTTAGAATTGACATTAGAAAACAATATTTTATTAAAAGACTTTTTGGTCATCATGAAGAGCCACCAATCTTCTACATGGAGATCTCAGATATATGAGAAAGTCTACCGTATTGTATTGATAAATATATTAATTTTCTTTAAAAAGACATCTTCCATCTTTTATTAGAACACTAATGGTATTCAGTTTAATGACATATTGGGAAGATCCACTGGCATTCAACGAGATAACTCATTGGTCAATCATAAGAAGATCTGTTTGTCTTAAATGCGAAGATATATCGTTCTTCTAGGAGAATACCGGTTATTATTTCTTTCCGAGAAGACTAATTGGTTTTCTATTGGGATTCATAAAGGCCTTCTTATAGAGTGGTACTGGGTTCAAGAAAGCATTTTATCAATCAATCTGAATCGAATAAATTTTTTCTAATATTTTATACAAAGTCAAAGTCAGTGTCCATATCTATCCATCTGTCTAGGAAACCAATTGATAGGAAACCAAGATTTTGCGCTGTCATTTTTCTGCAGTCAGGTCAATATCGAAGATGCATAACATCCGAACACATTAAGTTATGAATTTACCACCGATTACAGGTTAATGGGTAATTTTACGAAATTTTCCACCAGAAATTGAACATTTTAGGTTCTTAAACATGGGACCAAGTTTAGATATACCGGTCGTATAATGGTACAACCTGATTGAAGATATTTTGCGAGGTTGGTAATATTTTTCAACGAAACAAAGACCATAACTTAATATTTGTTATTCTAAGCAGCTATGTCGACTCCGTACGAAAAGTATTAGAAATCGGCCACCATTTAAATGCAGCTAGATTAAATTCATGATTCCAATTGTAACACCATCTCACAAAAAAACGGGTATATATTCATGATCAGCATAGAATTCTAAGTGACGTCCATATTAGACGTAGAAATTTGGCATAATAGTTTCCTGTTTCTTTAGGGTGATTGGTATTGAAATGGAGCTATATTGGTGTACGTTTTCATTTCATGTATTGGTGTACGATATTCGGTATTCTAATAACTCAGAATTGTTTAAAATTAGTATTTAGAGACGGTAATGTGTCCTCCTCGTGTGTATCAGTGTCTTATATGTCAACGTTTTCCTAAATCCCCATAAAATAGTACCTCCCGATATTTGGTATTCTGATGATTCTGAATCAAATTATGCATGTCCTTCCTCCCGTCTGTCCACGTATTTATGAAAGAAAAATATTAGCAGCATTTATTGTTCGATTGTGATAAAATTTTGCACCGATCATTTGTTTGGCGCAAGAACGAAAGCTATTGAAATTTACAATAGTCGATGTAGCCATAGTTCCCAAGTATATTGGCCCGATGTCAGGATTATTGTGCACCAAAAGCACATACGATCGAATTGAACCTATAAGTATGCTAAATTTGGTGAAAATCTGTCAAGCTCTCATATAAATGTTTCATCCGATTTTATATCTAAGTTACCCAAATCCGTATTTACACTCCATAACAAGGATTTTCGGTACAACATATCAGATACATCCTAAAAATACCTACCTCAGTCAAGTTAAGTGGAAATCGATTAAGATATAGGTTTACCGCCAGGGTGCCTAAAGTGAAATTTATAATATTTAAAGAGTGTGAAATCACCCTGCAACTAACCTGGGCAAATCATGAAGATAACAGTACCACCCCTTATTCTTGGTTTTGAAAGCTTAAGCCCAGATTTTCTACAAATTAAAGTGATATTTAATTTTGGATCTTGCTCTAATAATGAATATTGGTGCTGTTTTTTAAGACTGTCTTTCTCCACCTACATAGTATGGAGGGTATATTAAGTTCGTCATTCCGTCATTTTAGACCTAACAAAGTATATATATTCTTGATCAGCTTAAAATTGTAAGACGATTTAGTTTTCGCCATTTGTAATCTCGTTAGAGTCAAATCGAATTAAGATAGGAAGCTAAAATGTTGCACAGATCTGTCTTTTGTCTGCTAGCAGGTTAAGTTCGAAGATGGGCTATATCGGTCCACAATTTCATATATCCCCGATATAACAGTACCCCCGATATTCGGTATTTTAATTTGACATTGACATTTTTCAATAGAATTGTCTGAAAATCCAAACAAGGAGTTCCTTTTGAGGACTTTACCCTCTTGAAGAGAATTGTCTATATAGGTCCACAATATCGTATGTCCCCCATGTAACGGTACCTCCCGATATTCGGTATTTTGATGATTTTAGCCGCATTTTTCAATGGAATTGTCTGAAAATCCAAACAAGGAGTTCCTTGTGAGTACTTTATCCCCTGTAAGAGAATGGTCTACATAGGTCCACGTTTTAGTACTGCACACATATAACGATGCCCCCATATATTCAGTATTTTCATGATTTTTGCGACATTATTCACCGGAATTGTTTAAAATTTTGTATCTGAAGTTCTTAATGGGTACTTCAACCTATGACGAAAAAATGTATATACAGATTCACGTTTTCGTATAGCCCCCATATAACGATACCTCCCGCTATTCGGTATTTTGATGATTTAAGCGACATTATTAACCGGGATTTTTTCAAATTTCGTATTTAAAGATCGCAATGATTACTAGAATCTATGAAAAAAATTGTCTATGCAGGTTCACGTCTTTGTATAGCTCATATATAACGGTACCTCTCTTTATTCGGTATTTTGATGATATTAGCGATATTATTCAATGGAATTGTTTACAATTTCGTATTTGAAGGTCGGAATCGTTATTACAGCCTATGAGAAAAATTACTTATGCAGAACCACGTCTTCGTATAGCCACCATATAACGATTTTCAGTTGAGCGGTATTTTTCGACTGTTTTTTTTTTTTGAAATTTGTCAAGTTCCTTCCAAATGGTGGAGTGTATGAAAAGTTCGGTCCGGCAAACTTAGCTGATTTTTTACTAGTTTTACTTTTTGTAGGATCTATTGGTTTTCAGTGGCATCCTTTAAGGAAAAAAATATTATTCTGTGAAAAGTAATCAAGGACCCATTGGCCTTACATTAAATTGACTTCTATAAAAAGACCTATTTTTCATGTGGATATCGGTTAATCATATCTGAGATGTTTGACTTGACATACTCTATCTTTTATTTTGGTTTATTTGTGTTTTGATTTTGTCTTTTGATATTTTTATTGGAGCTCCATAAAACATTTCTATTAAAGACCATATTGATCTGCCCATCTAGGGCACACGTTTATATTTCAAACCAATTCCAAACAACTTCTTAAAATCCCCAGCTAAGTAATTCCCATATCAGAACATTACCACTGCCTTACTGACTGTCTGTTATTATTGTTGTTATTTGTTTTCTTTGCTGAAGATTGGCGTCCATGTAGGTGCCTCCACAACAAAGTAGCCGGTATTGCGCTGTTGTTGTATTATTGTGTTTGTTGTCATATTAACATTAATGACTGACAGTGGTAGGTTGAAACAAAAGACGCATTCTCACCAAATATAGATCAGCTTGTTTAAACAAGTTAATAATGTTAATGAATTTTTTTGTTGTTTTGTTTTGTTAAAATCTACCACGGATATTTTCACAAGTAACCGGTTTAAGAAAAACAATTAAAATAATTGTCATACGTACGTGGATACCTTTTGTGACCGATATGATATTTGCTAAAACCAGAATCGGATAAAAAATCGAATAAAACAAAGCAATTTAATTAATAACGTCAATACTTTTTATGTGGGTACCTTGTCTGGATTTAGAGATTTTTATGTATTGAGGTATAAAATTTAAAACTCTTTGCTCGAAAAAAGGTTAAACACAATCCCCCCCACCCCACAAAAAAAAAAAAAAAAAAAAAAACCGGAGGGTTGTTTCAGATTTTTTAGAGAGATGTTTAATACCTTGACCTATAATTTGAAGGCGAATTCTGTTGTGCATTATTGCTTTAAGATTCCAGAATCCAATTTGGGTGCAGAGTTATGCGCATCAGTATTTTTTGCTACTTTTGGTCTTGGCATTTTATGATCGTATGGAAAGGTAGAACCTTTCAGAAGCATATCAAAAAAAAAAATGTTCCACTGTATCAAAGGTATTCAAGCCGGTTCTGCACACAACACGGTTAGTCACACGGCACATTCACATTGCTAACGTACATACATATGTTTTAATTACAACATTCATTCATTCATTCAACCTGAAAATCACTTCGAAGAACTTCGTCAGCAGCTCTCATAATGTTATGATAAGCACAACAAACCGGCCAAAGGTCTTTGTTTGGACGTTTCAAAGAGATTTTCCAAAGCTAAGCTACTAACTAACATTTTGTAATGTTAGTTTACAAAACAGTTGTGTTGTTGTCTTATCTCTTTTGCTTGAGAGCGTTAATTTCAACATAGGTATTTCCATACTGCAAGCCGACTGCAGACCCAGCCACAGCCATAATGAGGCTTTTTCTAAACACGTTTCGGAATTTGGTTTTTTTTCTCATTTTCTTCTTGGCTTTGTGTTTCTTTGCGAAATTTCATTAGCACTCTTTGTGACGCGTTTAAAGTTCACATGCATCACACATACGTGAGTGGGGGGCTAAAACGAATGCACTTAAGACCCTATTACCCCCCGCCCTTCATTCACCTCATCAGCAGTCAGGCCTTTCACCTTCGATTTCCAATAAGAAACCTCAAGAATTAAAGAAAAAACCAACAACTTTCACTCGTAATTCGCTGGGTACAAAATTCATTGAATAGTAAAATAATTAATATTCAAATATCTACCCGCACCTTCTAGGGTCTGGGATTTTTATGGCCACACACACTCAACGGAAGAAAGCTGAATTGGGTTTTTGTTGTTTTTAATTTCAAATTTATAAAAAACAAAAAACATTTTACCGTTAATTATTTTTGAGGTCGTAAATCTAACTAAGAATTTTGGATTTTTTTCTCTTTTTTTCAAATCGCCGAATTGTTTGCTATTAATTTGCCGCGTTGTGCTTCTTGGCTGACTTAGTCGCTGCTCGTCGCCACTGGTTCTTTTTAGAAAGCCCGAATGCAACTGATTTCTTGTATCTGGCCTGGCGGCTGTTGGCGTTTGTTTTTCTGTGCTTCCATTTGCCATTTGCGATACAGGCAACAGCAAGCAATGACGCCGACGACGTCGTGGTCGTTGTTGTTCCTCAACAAAAACCATCTTAACATGGCTTTTCTGCGGTATTTTTTTGTGTTTTTGGTTTTTTTACTTTTGTCTTTAACTTGTTTTGATTTCGATTTGTTCTCTGCACGTGTTTGGTTGTGTGTGCGGAGGGAATGTCTTAAAGCACAGTGCAAAGAAACCGGCATACAATTTTAGGTTAAAGAAATAAAAATGAAGTTCTGAAATTCCATGTGGTACCGCTATATGAGGGCTATATCAACATGGGGATCCACATTTGAAATATTTGGTGTGGAGCTTTTCACTGAAAATCCGAAAAGTTAAATTGGGACTCACGCTATTAAAATTCAAAAAATTAGGAGGGACCATTATATGCCGACTTTACCAAATACGAATTGGAATTTAATATTTTTGGCGAGGAGCTAAAATATTCCACGAGAAACAGGTGTGTCAAATTACAGCTAATTTGGTTGAAAATTCCAATCAAAACCTCTAAAGTATCTACAATCATGAGACACAAGTATATGGGGCGAATACCTGAGAATCACTGAGAAGCCGATTTGGTAGGAATTTTGGGATCAAAAACTTAAAAATGTCGAAAACCAGATGGCACCTTTATATGGGGGCTATACCTTGGAGTTAAACTGCCTAATGACATTTTTTTCCGATCAGTAAATCTACCCGAAAAGCTTAATTATGGGCTTTAGTTAGAAATTGGATATCGAAATACCGAAAACAGGATGTGTTCTCCTAAAAGTCCTCAATGGCCTTTACCTCGATGATCTTAGAGTTCTTCTCATATTAAGCCCCAAAGGTGTTATGAAAGGAATTAAAAGACCTTTTATGGAAGGTTTGCATAGCACCTTATAGAATCATTTGAAGGCCTTCTTTAGAAAGGTCCTAAGGTTCATATTATAGAAGAACTTAAGGGTTTTTTAGAAGGCCTGAAACTTCTTCTCTTTGAAGTCCTTAAAGGTCTTTCCTTAGAAGAATATAAAACCTTTTCTTCTAGGAGGCTTCAAAAGCCTTGTCATGGAAGACCATAAAGATCTTCTCAAAGAAGGCTTTAAAAGTATCCAATAGAAGGTTTTTGAGGTCTTCTTCCCTTAGAAGGTCATCAAAGTTCTTATCATAGAATTCCTTAAAGGTCTTTTCATAAATGGCGTAAAGGTCTACTACTAGAAGGGGTTAAGACCTTAAAAGTCTTGAACGTTGGATCCTAGAACCCCTTAAAGATCTTATCATAACGGGTCTCAAGATATTCTAACAGAAGGCCTTAAATATATTATCATAGAAGACCTTGTATGTCTGATCATATAGCCCTTAAATATCTTCTGCCAATAGGAAACTTTGATACTATGCTCATAGAAGGTCTAAGAAGTCTTCTCATAGAAAACCTCGAAGATCTTCTCATGATATTGAAGGTCTCAAAGGATATACATTTATTTTGTAGAAGGCCTCCTAAAAGGTCTCAAATTCCTGCTCATAGAAGGCCCTGAAGGTCTTCTTGTATATGGCCCTCAAGTTCTAAAGATCTTCTTATAAAGGTCTCAAGGTATTCTCACTTAAAGGTGCTCTCATAGAATACCTTGTATGTCTGATCACATAGCCCCTTACATATCTTCTTCCCATAGAAAACTTTGATACTCTGCTCATAGAAGGTTTGCAGAGTCTACTCATAGAAAACCTCGAAGGTCTTCCCATGATATTGAAGGTATCAAAGGATATAAATTTCTTTTGTAGAAGGCCTCCTGAAATGTCTCAAATTCCTTCCCATAAGGTCTCCTTGTATATGGCCCTCAAGTTCTACGAGCAAAACGTTTTCTTGAAAGCTATCAAAGGTCTGCACATAGATGGCCTTGAAGTTCAGCTCATAACAGCTCTTGAAAAGCTGATCAGAGAACCCTTCCTAAGAAGGTCTTAAATGTCTGCTCATAGATGGTCTCAAAGTTCTTCTCATGGAAGCCTCAAAGTCCACTCATAAAAGCCCTAAAGGTCTACCTATAGAGTACTTAAAGGTCTTCTCAGTAAATGCCTCAACGGTTAGATCCTAGAATCCCTTAAGGTTCCTATCATAAAGGGTCTCAAGATATTCTTGCAGAAGGCATTAAATGTGTTCTCATAGAAGACCTTGTATGTCTAATCATATAGCCCTTAAATATTTTTTTCCAATAGAAGACTTTGATACTCTGCTCATAAAAGGTCTGAACAGAATTCTCGTAGAAAACCCCGAACGTCCTCTCATGATGTTGAAGGTCTCAAAGGATATACATTTCTTTTGTAGAAGGCCTCCTAAAAGGTCTCAAATTCCTTCTCAAAGAAGATTCTGAAGGTCTCCTTTTATAAGGCCCTCAAGTTCTAAAGATCTTCTTATAAAGGTCTCAAGATATTCTCACAGAAGGCCATAAAGGTGTTTTCATAGAAAACCTTGTATGTCGTATCACATAGCCCCTTACATATCTTCTTCCCATAGAAAACTTTGATAATCTACTCATAGAAGGTCTCAAGAGTCTTCTCATAGAAAACCTTGAAGGCCTTCCTATGACATTGAAGGTCCCAAAATATATAAATTTATTTTGTAGAAGGCCTCCTAAAAGGTCTCAAATTCCTTCTCATAGAAGATTCTGAAGGTCTCCTTGTATATGGCCCTCAAGTTCTACAAGCAAAACGTTTTCTTAAAAGCCCTCAAAGGTCTGTTCATAGAAGGCCTTGAAGTTCAGCTTATAATAGCTCTTGAAGAGCTGATCAGAGAACCCTTCCTAAGAAGATCTTAAATGCCTGCTCATAGATGGTCTCAAAGTTCTTCTCAAAGAAGCCTCAAAGTCCACTCATAAAAGCCCTAAAGGTCTACCTATAGAGTATTTAAAGGTCTTCTCAGTAAATGTCTTAAAGCTTAGATCCTAGAACCCCTTAAGGATACTATCATAATGGGTCTCAAGATATTCTCACAGAAGACCTTAAACGGGTTCTCATAGAAGACCTTGTATGTCTGATCATATTGCCCTTAAATATCTTCTTCCAATAGAAGACTTTGATACTCTGCTCATAGAAGGTCTCAAGAGTCTTCTCACAGAAATCCTCGAAGGTCTACTCATGATATTGAAGGTCTCAAAGGATATAAATTTCTTTTGTAGAAGGGTCCTTAAATGTCTCAAATTCCTTCTCATAGAAGACCCCGAAGGTCTTTTTGTATATGACCCTCAAGTTCTAAAGATCTTCTTATAAAGTTCTTAAGGTATTCTCACTTAAAGGTGTTCTCATTGAAGACAATGTATGTCTGATCATATAGACCCTTACATATATGATTCTTCCCATATAAAATTTCGATACTCTGCTCATAGAAGGTTTCCAGAGTCTACTCATAGAAAACCTCGAAGGTCTTCCCATGATATTGAAGGTATCAAAGGATATAAATTTCTTTTGTAGAAGGCCTCCTAAAATGTCTCAAATTCCTTCCCATAAGGTCTCCTTGTATATGGCCCTCAAGTTCTACGAGCAAAACGTTTTCTTGAAAGCTATCAAAGATGTTCACATAGATGACCTTGAAGTTCAGCTCATAACAGCTCTTGAAGAGCTGATCAGAGAACACTTCCTAAGAAGGTCTTAAATGTCTGCTCATAGATGGTCTCAAAGTTCTTCTCATGGAAGCCTCAAAGTCCAATCAAAAAAGCCCTAAAGGTCTACCTATAGAGTACTTAAAGGTCTTCTCAGTAAATGTCTCAACGGTTTGATCCTAGAACCCCTTAAGGATCCTATCATAATGGGTCTCAAGATATTCTCACAGAAGACCTTAAAGGGGTTCTCATAGAAGACTTTGTATGTCTAATTATATAGCCCTTAAATATCTTCTTCCAATTATAATATAGAAGATTCTAAAGGTCTTTTTTAAGTGGCCCTCAAGGTCTAAAGATATTCTTATAAAGGTCTCAAGATATTCTCACTTAAAGGTGTTCTCATAGAAGACAATGTATGTCTGATCACATAGCCCCTTACATATCTTCTTCCCATAGAAAACTTTGATACTCTGCTCATAGAAGGTCTCCAGAGTCTACTCATAGAATACCTCGAAGGCCTTCTCGTGATATGGAAGGTCTCAACGGAAAAACATTTATTGTGTAGAAGGCCTCCTAAAAGGTCTCAAATTCCTTCTAATAGAAGATTCCGAAGGTCTCATTGTCTAACGCCCTCAAGTTCTAGGAAAAAATATTTAAGCTTTTTCTTAGATGCCCTCAAAGGTCTACTTATGGAAGGCCTTGTAGTTCAGCTCATAATAGCTCTTGAAGATTTGATCAGAGAACCCTTCCTAGGAAGGTCTTAAATATCTAATCATAGAAGGTCTCAAAGTTCTTCTCATGGAAGCCTCAAAGTCTACTCAAAAAAGCCCTATAGGCGTACCCATAGAGTACCTTAAAGGTCTTCTCAGGAAATGTCTTAAAGGTTTTCTAACAGAAACTGTAAAGGATATTAAAAACGGAAAAGGTAGCGTTTTATGGAAGTTTTCTTACTGAATGTTTCAAAAGACTTTGTATGGAAAGCTTTAATGATCGTCGTACACATGGATTTAACGATTTTCTTACAGGATGACTTAAAATTTTATAGAAGGGCTTTTTTGTTTCTCATAAAAACGAATTTTTACTTTTCTCTTTACACTGATAGGTCGTCTAATTGAAGTCCTAAAAGATCTACTTATAAAACTTCTAAAAGGCTTTATAAAAGTTTTGAAAGGTCGTCGTAACCCCTAAATATGTTTTATAAAACCTTTGAGGTTCTTCCTTTTGATTTTTTACAAAAGTCTTTGAAATTCAGCTTCGAGAAAACCTCCCCTTTTCTTGCAGGTTTCACTCCACTGTCCACTCTTCATTTCTCCATTCACGGCGGCGTGGCCGTGGTAAAAAAATTGTCTTGAATGGTTTCTTCAAGTGTTTCT